GGAGCTGACTTTCACAAATCTGTTTTTAAAAAAGAAAAATGTTCTCAGAAAAAAAAAAAAGCATGAGAACTTCATGGGAAAAGAGCATGCCAGCCAGATAGGAGTTAGTACACCCACCATTGAAGCTCTTTAGAACTTTATTTTTAATTCATTTTTAATTTTAAGTAAATGAATCCATGAAGGAAAATTCTTCTTTTGGAATATCTGAGAAGACTATAAATTCTTGATTATAGCAGGGTGAAAAACTGTAATAAATAGCTATTATTTTCTCATCTTATCATAGCACCAACTTCAAAATTTATGAGCTCATAAAGGCTAATCTTTTTCACTATGCCTTCAATAAGAGGCTCAACTGAAAATGCATATGTTTTTCTGAAGTCAAAGTCTTATCTGGAACAAAGTTCATGTAAAATGATAGCATCATCAAAAGAGGAACATTTCTAGCCAGACAACATTTACAATTCTCAGACATATTTTAAACATTAAATAATATTTGCATTAAAATCTTTTTAAGAAATTAGACATTTGTGATGTTTTCGAAATAATTCAAAAGGAAAAGGGAGGAAGCCAAGCAAGGGAAAGCACTTTGGGGGTGACTTCAGCCTTACCCCACAGGATCTCTGAAAATGTCATAGCTCCCATTGAAAAACAACTGGGATTTCAAATTCCTGGACCAAATAGGCTACCAAACAGGCAGGGCATGGGTGTTTCTGATGGGGAATGGAGTTCCCACACTCTTCTAGCTCACTGTGGGTAGGCTTTGTGGCAGACAAAGTACATTCAGTAGCCCTGAGTAGTCCCTAGAAAAGTCATATTGGTGTGAGCTGTTGGAGGCAAAAATCAAAAACAAAATTCACATCAATAATGGAGAGGGATTCAGGAGAAGGGGCCTAGTGGATTTTAGAAAACCACTGACAATATCCACTAGAAAGTGCTTCTGATATCCCAGAAGAGGAAAATTCCTATCCCAACAAGTTATCAGATCAATCAACAATTATTACCAACAGTGTGACTTGGGGCAGCTGTTGTGGTGCAGCAGGTTAAGCCACTGGTTGGGATGCTTACATCCTGTATCAGAGCACCTAGGATGGAATCTCTCCTCTGCTTCCAATCCAACTTCCTGCTGATGTGTGCCCTGAGAGGCAGTAGATGATGGCTAAAGTATTTGGGATCTTGCCCCCCAAATAGGAGGCCCAGATATAGTTCCTGGCTCCTGGCTTCAGCCAGGCCCAATGCTGGATGTTGCAAACATTTGAGGAGTGAACCAACAGATTGAAGATCTTTCTGTCCCCCACTCCTCTCTCTTACTGTTCTTCTGCCTTTTTGATAAATAAAAACAAATTCATAAATATTAAAAAGAACAGTGTGATCATGTTGATTAAGTTTTTTATGTCTCAGCTTCATCAAATTTAAAAAAGTGCTTAACTCAGGATTCTTACGTGTATCATCCAAAGTAATAAACATAAAATGTTTTAATCACTATACATCATAACAGAAATTGTTATTTTTTAAAAAAACTCTTGCTTTTAATATTTTAATTTTATATATTTGACAGTCAACTTCTCTTTGTGACATGATAAGTTCACACCAGATATAAGGTAAACATATAAGGTAAGAGTAATATTGAGGTGATATGCAAAATGTATCTTTAGTAATGTATCATGAAATGAGTAAGCTTCATAACAAAAAGAAAGGGAAGGGCTTGAACTAGATAGCAGAAGCAGATTCATTTTAGCCATAATGTAGATAAAATTGGAGCCAGAAGCTTAGATGCCACCTGAACTTATCATTTTGCATCACTTTAAACTGTAAATTTATCTGTAAGTCAATAAGTTCTAGATCCTTTGTAGGAAGTTATGGGAAAAAATTACTGACGGAATTGGGTGCAAGGAAAAGCAGAAACAAAATGCAATATAGTCAAACTTTATGAAAAATAAAAGAGTTTTATGGAAATACTTCTATTAGCACTGAACTGTTTACCATATAAAATCACTGAAATTTTTGACCTATGAAAATAGAAATTTCATATGATTCAATCCAAAGAACAAAGAATATTGGGAGATAGTCTTTCATGGCCTTCTAATTTCATATCCATCTTTCTGGCTGTGGCAAGAATGCAAGGCCATGACCACTATTTACCTGGGTCATTTTTCTACTCAAGGGACGAGGAATGAGGGTTGAGGAAATATCTCATTCTGGGATAAAGACCAAATTTGCTTACAACTTGCTATGGAAGCAGTGAATTCCCAAGCTCAGAGTTTGTTTCCTGTAACACGACTCACTGCAGTTGCACGTGGCATCTGGGCTCTTTGCGTCATCCCCTTCGAACTTGGATGCAAGAGCAACCAATGTAAATATGCTGATGTTCATGCTGCTGTCATGAGTGATTATGTCCTTTGACTGTGGCCCAGGGGTCGCATCTCTTCTAATGACATCCATGAAATGCTAATAAGCTAACTTCTCAGATATAAGGCACAGTAAATTAATTCCAAGCCCCAATAAGTCACGGTATAGGATATTCTCCAGATCGTGATAGTTGTATCAGTTGTGACATTTTCCCGAGATATTACATCCTTTTAGACCAGGTAAATACCAGTGTGGTCATTCCTCTTTCTACCACTGTTTTTAGGAGCTTTACAGAGGAAGTAAAAACTTTCAGAAGAAGTAAAACATATGTCATGTGCCAGAGTACCTTAGAGAGATGTGTGAGGCCCCTCAAGGGGGCTATGATTGTATCCTAGAGTCTGGAAAAATTCATGTGGGAGACTAGAGGTAAGCTGATGGGTTGATTTTTTTTCTGTTTCCTTCCAAATTTGTTTGGCCATGGACTCAGTCTTTAGATAGTAATTAAAATTTGCAGATGAGAGCTCCTATAATACTCAGAGGTTCAAATTATTTTAAAAATAGCCTTGAAAACAAAAAAACATAGGCTAGATTAAAACTTACAATGCGTGTCTCTAAGAACAGCTCACAACTGTCTTCTTGAATAAGGCATTAGGGAGTAACACTGCTTTTCTTCCATTCTAGGATGACCATTGATGAAACCCAAACATTCTCTCCTGGAAAAACCATGATTGTGGAGTTGACATGTTTATGTAAATAGCTGTTCTCTGATTCATTAAACCCTATTGGCTCTGGCATTTTCCTTTCTGACCCTTATCAGCCACATACTAGCAAAACGTGAAGAAATAAAGAGAACAAAGAAAGGCAATAAAAGGGGAACAACCAAGAAGTGCATTGTGACTGTGACCAACAAGGAAATTTAGAAATGGGTGACTGAACACCCAAGGAGACCCTGTCAGCTGGTCACAGCTACATTTGTTCAACTTGACAAGTGCTTAGCACAATTTCAAGGTGTCATACAGAGATACATAGGCAATGACAGTCATGGATGCTACTTTAAGATCAGATTGAATGTAGGAAATAATGTTGTTTTTTATAAATTGGCCTTTTGTGAAGTTGTTAAGAAAAGAAACTTAATAGATTAGAGTGCAATTAAATGCCCACATATCCCTAAACATACAATCTGGCCCTTGCAGATCTCTCCACATACTCCTTATTTCCTTCATTGCATGCGTCACAAGCTACAATGTTTATTTATTAGTGTTATAAATAAATGATTCACCCAGAGCTGGGATTCACAGTACCCATTCCACTTATGTGTGGTTGCTGCTCCTAATCTCACCCACTGGAATATAAATTCAAAACAGACAGGGCTGTGTCTATCTTGTTCACTATTATAACCCCCCAGCCTGGCAAAATGTGCTGAAAACAGTCTCAAATTTTTTTTTGATACATAAATAAAATAGGCAAAACTAGCAACAGCTACATGAAGATATCATATAATTTATCCCCTGAATTCGGCTCCTAACTTATTAACACAAAATTCAGCGAAAACATGGCTCAAAAGCAGAAGCAAAATTTTCAAAGAATTTAGATGAAAAAAAATCCCCACACCCCAGGGCAGGAAACCTATTCCTACTTCATTTTCCTTATTGAATATTGAGATCATAAATCAGAAAAAACTAGTAGACTACAAAAGGCTCCATCAGAATCTCATGAGGTGACCTTTAATTAGATTTTAAGAGCAATGGGGTTCCACTGGTACTCAACTTTTTAAGATTTAAAAGTGAATACAATAATAGCAATCCTGTTGAATTGCTTCACATTATAGTTGTGCTGTCCTAACTATAATGCTAAATCAGTAAAGCTCAAGGGTGCGATATTAAACACCAGATAATTTCACTGATGGCCCAATTCTTCATTTCACACATTGAGCTCTGCTCCACCCCTTGACTCTGAATTCAGTCATGTGACTGACTTCCTCTGGCCAATGGAATGTTAGCGAATGTTATGCAAGCAGAGGTTTAAAATGTATGTGTACACTGGGACTTGCTCTCCCATTGTTCTTTCTCTACCATATTCATGAGTACATGACTAGCCTAACCTGCTGGGGGAGGAAGTACATGGAGCAGAGTCAGAATTCCTTATCCCAGCTAAGGCTATCCTAGAATAACTGACAGCTGGCCAGGCCTCAAGTGAGTCCTGAAGCTGACCTCAGATGTATAAGTGATCACAGCCAAGATCACCAGGATTTCTTGTTGACCTATAGATTGACACATCGTTGAGTTTTAGAAGTGTTTGGCTTGTAGCATTACTGTAGTAATAGCTGATTAATACTATACTCTTATAAAGTCATTAAAATTAATTGCCAGCAAACAAGCATTAAAATGTAGACACTATTCTTTATTGAAATAGAAATTATTTTTAGTTAAAGTTAATTGACTTCTCTACAAACTAACATGCTTTCCTTCTAACCACAGCTATGTCACTGGTGTTGAGCAGGCCTGGTAGGATGTACTTAGAGAAGAGCAATCAGGGACATCAACAGACTCAGCACCACAGTGATGGAGGTCACCTTCCCAGCACTGTTTGAGAGCCAGTATTTTGCATACACATCATCTAGGATTGACAGCACAGCCTCCATGGTTTCTTCACAGGTGGGCTGGATCTGAGCTTCTGGCAGAACAAATCCATATGTGCCATTGTCCCTCAGCTCAAACGTGTATGAGAAAGGGATCCCAATGTCTCGAGCCCAGTCTCTTGAAGACCCTGATGAGGAATCTACAAAGGAAAACATGCAGGAAGAGGTAAAAATGTTATTTTCAATGGACAGATTTCTATGGCCGTTTCAGGGAATAAATATTCAATCAGTAGAGACTCTTTTTTCAGATTAGAGTGTCATAGGTAGCTGTCTTCCCCCTTTCTTGATAGTAAGTGTCTTTAGGAAGGGGTTGTACATTATTTAGCCTCTCGGGCCCCCACCCTTATATCTAGTACTATGCCTGGCATCTAGAAAAGTTTGTTAAAGTTTATCAGATAAAATCAAAGACCAGGCAATCTAATATTGCAAGGCAATAATGAAGTGACATATTTAAAGGAACAGAAACAAAATGACCCAGAGGAAAATTTTCTCTGTGCGTCCCTAGAAGGTGGAGGAGGTGATGGTTGGGGGTTGGGGGACACAAGGCATTTTCCTTTCGCTGAATTTTTTTCTTCTAGATCCTTTTACCAGGCTGCTGTAGCAACTAAAATAAATGAGTCTGCAGGCTGCTCGCCTCTGGCCTGCTTTCACCGGGCTCCTGGAGTCTGTGTGGTGACCCCGTGCCTCTTGCTCCCACCATACTCCTCCTCTCAGAAGAAATCAACCTCAACATCTGGCGCACCAATGTGACTGAGAGAGAGACAGCGTGTTGGACTTGGTGAGGTCCCCCCTTGATTTCTGCAAGTAGGCCCCTCGATGTTTTGTGTGCTGTTCAGTTCTGTGGGGGTGAGCACGGAACCCCCTTCTACGCCACTTTATTTGTCCTTGTCCTCAGTCTAAGTGACCCCAGGTTAGGCACACACCACCCAGAAGCACATGCCACTTCTTGGCTCTTTTTACTTTCAGTTCTCCTGGTGAATTCACATAAGGGACTGATCATTCCAGAATTTGGAACCAAGTCATCTTCCCTCACTCGAGAGAGGTGATGCTCCAGAGACACCGTGTGGGCATACGGCCTTGACCTAACAAACCAAGGAAGTCTCCCACTAAGCATAGGATACACCATGTCTGTTTGTCTAAAGTCAGGAAACCCCTGCAAAATTCCAACAGCGGCTGAAGTGCTATGAATTGATTTTGTTATGGCAGCAGTGCTGTGGGAGTCTTTCCTTTGGCTAGAGTTGGCATGGTGTGCTACTCTTAAACACTCAAACATGGGAAAGATACCCCTCTCTCAGAATCCCGCACAGATTACCAAACATAATGAATCTGTGAGTGATAAGAGCCTGACACTCCAGGTCCCTGTCTCACAGACAACAGTCGATGACTGTGGGAGAGCTCTGACAGTGAAAATGACGTGACAGCAGACAATGCAGCAATGCCTAGTCAGCCACCCCTCAACTACCCATGGGATGAACTTAGACAACCTTGAGGTGATAACCCATACGAGGTCATCCCATCCACACCCAGTGAGGATCCTCACATTTGTGGCAGTCCTCAGGCACCCCAGGCACTCAGGGTAGCCGCTAGAACCCATCCCACTCACATATTTGCCATTAATGTAGGAGTGGATGCAGAATTCAGGCCCTGGATTCCAACACCTGTAAAAAGGTTTCTGCTAACCAAGGGTCGAGGATATGTTTGTGTCTTTGCAGAGAATGCGGGACAGCCCATTTGGGTACCAGCCAGAAACATCAAGCCTGCAACTGACAGCCAACTAGAATCAGATGAACAAGACTGAGAGTCCACCTTGTTAACAGATGCACCTGCCCTATCATCCTACCCTGAGAAACTGCCCATGTCCACATCCGCTACTGTTTTATACCCCACTAGCTCTGGTCAGCCACTCAAATGGCCCACAGCCTGTGTGTGGTTATGTCATTCCTGATTACCATTGTTCCTCATTCCTACCCCTATCTGAGCAAGCACTCCTGAGGTCTCCTGTTTTGATCACTGGTTAGTCAACGACGGGTAAGATCCCCTGGGGGACAACCTAAGACAGGCACAGCCACATACGGATACCACATGGAAACGGGGTCAACAATGGTATGGCCAAGAATCATTTCTCCTGTCGCTCAAAAATAAACGAAAATGGAGAAATGTGGTGGAATGAGAAGGCTGTGCCAAGATGGCCACTGGCAACAGAAACTGACTGACAACAGGTCGTGATTGGATGGCTTCAGAAACCACATGACAATGGAGCCTGCCTGGCAACAGGCTGTGATTGGATGGCTTTGGAACCTGCCTGGCAACAGGGTATGATTGGTTAGGGCATAGACCGCCCCTTAACCAGATTGGCTGCCTTGGCTATATAAGCTGCTGTAGCAACTGAAATAAAGGAGTCTGCAGGATGCTCGTCTCTGGCCTGCTTTCTCTCGGCTCCCGGAGTCTGTGTGGTGACTCCGTGCCTCTTGCCCCCACCACACTCCTCCTCTCAGAATGAATCAACAGCAACACCAGGCCACATCTTGCTTTGCTTTCTGGCTGATGGGGCTTCTGGGAAACAAATTAACTGACCAAGTATCATTGAACAGTGTCCTTTGTGTTAACCTCTGGGTCTTCTAACTTCCCATCTCTTTCCAACTCAAGTCAAGGGAAGTTTTGGTATGAGAAAATGTATTATTTTTCTTCCATTTTAGCTCATGCCATATCGCTACAGACTATAATTATGAATTTGGACAGACTCCCTTGTATCATTGGTCATTTTGATTTGTACTCCCTGTTGATCCCAGGAATTCTTCTCTTCTCACCATCCAAAGTCCACTGACTTATTTTGTTCCTTAGATACTATTGAAAAGGGAAATAAAGATACTTACATAAAATATCCGCACTTGATCCAACTCTATAATTGGTTCCATGCTTTGCTTTCAATGCATTTGCTGCCTTCTGTCCAACTTGAATCTGTAGGTGGGAAATACAGATACCTGGTGTTAAAAATAAACTCAGCAATCCGTGGGCTTGGAATTTTGTACAGATCCATCTCTAGAGTTTTAGACCATATTTCTGACTTCCCATTATACATCTACAATTAAGAAGCCTCGTGGTACCTCCAATTCAACACACAACCTGTTTAATCCCATTGTCTCCCTTTAACAAGGCTGTTGTGACTTTCATATTTCTGGTCTTCCAAACACACATGGACAATCCTGCAGGTATCTCTGACTCTCCTCTCAGTTACTTAGCTGCATTGCCAGTGCCGTCACCCTTTTTCAGACTCATTGCCTCTTGGTCTGTTTCATCTCCTAATAAGTTTCCTTTTTATCACCAATTCTTATCTTCATTGTTTCCACTTGGCTTCTAGATGGATCTTTGTGGACTAGAGCTATGATCATGATCCTGCTGAAAAGCCTTCAGTAACCCCAGATTTCTTACTGAGCTAACTAGAAGCTTCCCAGCCATTGAGAACCTCTAAAATATTGGCTTAACCCACTTATTACGTTGTATTTTGTACACCCACCTAGAGCATAGTCAAACTCATTTCATCACGGTTACAAAGACATGCCTCATGGTCTCTAGCTTTTATCAGGTGGGATCCATACCTTTAATCTCTGCTGGTTGAAATTCTTCCCAACTTCACAGAGCTTTCTTGAATGCCATATTTTTCATGAGAATTTACCTTGCTTCAACTAAATTCTCCCCTATGCCCTTTGTTCATGCTGCTCTTATGACTCCACTCCAATTCTCCTTACATGTATTTAATACTTACCTCTCACATATCTGTAAAATTTTAGAGCTAGAAGTCACACCTGTCCTCATACCTACCACATTGTCACCTTACAATATTGTAAATCTCTCAGAAATAGATGGTTTCTAGGATCTCAGCTTTGCTCTCTGAAAACCATTGCCTGAGATCAGTCATTAACTAAGGCCAATTTCTGTTGGCTGTGCTTACTGATATTGTGATGAATATTCTGGCCCAGCTCTATCAACAGACTCGAGACTCCCCAACCCTATTGAATACCTAGCAGATAATATATAATACTTCCTCTTGGATTCTGAACAAACATCAGCCAAATCCCCTTGCTGTTCCTTACCTGGACCAGAAACCATCATTGCTTTTACCCCTGAGGGCAGCTTGGCTGCCCTTACAGGTGCATCATCTCCCCTGACTGTTAACTGAAGACAGGTCTAGTTTTGGCCCCTGTCTCTCCCTTCCTAACTCTGCACTGTCTAATTGAATCCTAAAATGTGAGAATGTTTGAGCAGAGTAGAGATAGGTACAGTGAAATGTAAGAGGAAGACTAACAAAGGCAGCAAATTGTGGTGGGAAGCACCTGCAGCAGTTGTAAGCTATATCCTTCAGGCACCTGGGATTTTTTGTGTGTGGTTAAGATACAAGAAAAAAGATTACTTTGAATTATTTGTAAGTATTTTGCCATGTTATTACTTATGACTGAGTATTGTCTTTGGTCATATCTCTCTCTCTCTCTCTCTCTCTCTCTCTCTCTCTCTCTCTCTCTCTTCCCCCTAAAAAGATAACGTGCATCTGTCTCAGTTCCTCTGTTTATACTGTCCAGAACTGAGATTAGGGACAGGAAAGGCTGAAGAATGAGGTTTACAGTCAGTTTACGCATTCACAATGAAAGAAGCACAAGATCTATTTGTATGAAGAAGAGGAAATTATAAGCAGGAGGTGGGGAGTCACAAAGGGGAACTCTGGATAGAAAAGTTCTATTAAGGAACTGAAAGTGAGGCGTGGAAAGGATTCAGGTAGCTGCCATGTGTGATGAAATCAAGAGCAAGAGTCTTGGGGAAAGCCCACTGTAATTTACCAACTCCATTCCCTTATGAAGTGTTGCAAGTCTCTGTTAGACATACAAATTGCTTAGAATTTATTGTTAATTCACTTGTGTTTCTCGGAATAAAACCCCATGCTAACTGGCCCATGGGGGGCCTTAACTTTTATTTGGGAAGCATGGATCAGGTCCAGACTACATTTTCCATCCTAAAGATACCTGCATTGTTTTCTTTCCTGCAATTCACCCCTAGACAATGATTTATCATTTCCATTGCCAGGCTTTGCTTATTTTACCTTTTCCATTTCCTCTCCCCCAAATTCTGGTTTTGAGTGGGAAACAATTCTCTCAGTTTCCCCATCTTTTGTGATAAAAAGTACTTTGGATTCTTTTAAAGGATTCCATTAACAATTAGTGTGAGTTAGAAGATAGGCACAAGAAATGTGTACATGTACACTTGTGATCTGTGTGTATTGATTCAGTCACTTCTGAGGTGACAAAGTGGAAATTCCCTAGACTACTAATTCAACTTCTGTGTCTGGAGGTGTAATTTCTGAATGCAGTTCTCTCCCCTTATGAAACTATACTACAATGCTATCTAGGACCAGTCTCTCTGTTGCCCTTCCTTTCAACTTAAAAGTACAAGTTGCATATCCTTTGTTCAAAGTGCTTGGAGCTAGAATTATTTCAGATTTGGAATTTTTTCAGATTTTGGATTATTTGCATATACATAATAAGGTATCTTGTGGATGGGGCACAAATATAAACACAAAATTAATTTGGTTCATACACATCTTACACACATGACCTGATGGTAATTTTATCCAATGTTTTGAATGTACCTGTGTTTTGACTATGACCCATCACATGAAGTCAGGTGTGAAATTTCCACTTGTACCATCATATTGTCACTCAAAAATTCTGGATTTTGGAGTATTTCATATTTTTCAGATTAAGGATGCACAATCTGAATACCCTAGTCAAAATCATAAAAACTTCTTTCCAACAGTACTTGTTATGTGCTGCTAAATGTTGCTGAAGATCTCTAGCTTGCTTACCAAGACCTTCACTGAGTCTAGAAATTTTCCTGTAAGCATAAATTCACAGACAGGCACATGAACAGTTTGATTAAGGCCCTGGAATGTGTTTGACAGTGGGCGGGGTGGGTGAGTGAGAGGAGGACCATGTTTGGGATGGCTTGCACAACTTGATGTGGAAAGAGTCCAAATGGAAAGAATTTAAGCATGTAAAACATTAACATTCTTATTGTATCCTAATTTCCAGAGCAGCTTAGGAAGGAATTATATATAGTTATGTTTCCCCTAAACAATGATTGAATAGTGTAATATTTACTATGATTTCTAAAAATTTTTGGTTTTGTAAATATATAGAGGTTAATTAGCCTTCTTTAATGGTTGTAAATAGTGATAGAAATGGAAATCTTCCCAGAGAAATTGATTTGATTCTGTGTCTTTGTGCACCATATAAAAGCTTGCATCCCCTCCCCCCAAAAAACATAAAAGCACTGCTAAGTAGTTTCAACAACATTGACATGTGCTGGTGAAGTATTCACAATGCCACTTTATTGAAAAATTTTGGAGATGAATGTTTACACTAACTCTCCAACACCTGAGACTAAGCAACACAGAACTGAAGCAATCTTTCTCAGTTAAATTTATCTATTTCTACACATGGTACTAAGGAGTTGCCAAAAATTCTAGTCTTAATGGTCCTTCAAGTAGCGTCAAAGCTATTGCCCCAAGCTCCTCCATTCTTGCTCCATCTGACCTATGGCAACAGGGCTCTCTAATCTTTGCATACATACATAGCTTGCAAAATGACCAGGTAGTTCCTGTTTTCCTGTGTCTAGAAGAAAATGAAGTTCCCAGGAAAAATACCGGAGTATACAAATGCTGGTGGCAGACTCCCTTCCTCCCATCAAATATCCTCCTGCTGATAGAAAATTCTTTCCCATCAAAGATCGATAATGGCCTCCTTTTGGAGACTCATTTGTTGATTCCACAGTTCCCTTTAAGGAGAAAGTAGAAATCTACAACACAGGCCACAGACACCGGGGATAAAGAGGGTTCTGGGCTTCTCGCCTGAAATATCTGCCTCTGCAGATTTCTTTATTAAAGAAATAGAGATTCCAGAGCTCACAAATGAAAAGGATAGCACATAGTTGACAGAGAACATAATCTGATAATTGCCCCTAGAAGTTGTAGGCCCTTTCTGAGCTGAAGAGAGCCAGTGTGAGGTAGTGGAATGAGGTATATGGTCTCTGGAGTCCAAAGACATGAATTTCAGGCCAGACACCACTGTTTCCTGTCTACAGAGGTGCTACAGATATAGTTAAGTCAATGTCTCAGTTCCTACACTTCCAAAGGGAGCTGACTATATGATTAAGATGGGCAAAGTAGACTATGTCTGTAAAATTCCTTTGTAGACTATAAAGATGTGGGTAAATATAAGTTATTTCCACATTTTGCAAAATGATCACATAATAGGTTTTCCTGGACCAATAAAGAAAAAGGAATTGTAAGAAAAGTACTTGGGAACTGTGTACATGTTTGACAGTGGGGAAAGGGCTTTCTCCAGCAAAAATCTACAGTAGTCCTTTTGGCACCCAGGCCTTATGTTTTATGGGTCCTGCTCCAGAGTAAGAAGAAAAAGAGGTATAAAAGACCTGGTGCTTCCCTTAGTCCCTTAGTGGAAGGGACCACCCCAACATATACACCAAATATGAAGCTTATTTTTTAAAAATTAAGATAAACAAAGTAGCACATGTCATAAGAATGAATAAATTGGAATCGTTGTGCCTTATTTGTAGATATATAAAACAGTGCTGCCACTATAGAAAGCAGGGTTGTAATTCTTCAAAAAGTTTCCAAGATATGGGGCCAGTGCTGTGGCATAGAGGGTAAAGCCACTGCTTACCGTGCCGGCATCTTGTATGGGCACTGATTCAAGTCCTGGCTGCTCCACTTCCAGACCAGCTCTCTGCTATGGCCTGGG